CCCTCCCTACAGGAAGCCACGACCATGTGTCACGGGAGGGAAAATGGCCACGGATCCTGTTTGTCATCCGATCCGGCGTACATGAATGGAAGCAAAATTTTGTGAACGGTGCTGTTCGTGACCCGAATTGGTCATGAACAGAAGCGTTCATGACCTGAGGTACCACTGTACTTATATTGAACAGGAGCAATATAGGAAGATGCTGGAGGAAGAGGATCACTTTAGGGACAATGGCAAAGGTATCAATTCATACAGCACAGGAGAAGGCAATGGGAATCCACTTCAATGTTTTACCAGAAAATCACATGGATAGACAAGATAAAGCGATTGATGACTTCGCATGGGATGGTGGGCCTTGGAAGGGCAGGAATATATGTTGATTTATGTGAAGCAGTGCCATAGTGTCAAGATAAAAAGGAAGAATACATCTAAAGAATGAAATAATGTTCCAAATGATGCTGAGATGAGAAAAGGGTAAGCAATATAAGGACGGAGATATTTGGACACAGGACTGTTTTGTCCTTAAACATAAGAAAAAAATGATCTTTTAATAGATCATCAGCTTGATGAGCTGGCAGCATAGCTATCAAATTGATTACCTTCCATGAGTCACAATTAACTTGTGTAACTGGTATAGAAGTGCATTCTATTTTTCATCTTGGAGTAAAGGCCTTGCCAAAAATCACATTCAGCATTATTTGTGGCATTTATAAGAATGTTCACCTGGACTTCTGGATTAAAAGGTAGAAGGACACATTTGGCATTCCTGTCTTCTGAGATAAATTTTAGTTGGTGGGAGCTATATAATGGTTCGGTGTCCAAATATGCCAAGCTTCATAATTTTATCCCAAAGTATATTGTTTTATTTTGCTTCCATTATATGGACTGCAGTTTATTTCCTTTAGCCAAGAGCATGGACTCAGCAAGAGAACAATTGGAACAGACAGGATGGTTAGTGAGGAGGGAGATGTATTCTTGAACAGGAAAGTAGAAAATTCAGGATGATTATTTATCTAGCAACATTCTATCTAGCAGCAAATCCAAAGGAAAAGCAGGCAAATCAATTAAATGGATTCTTTGGTGGCCAATTTACATGAAGGGTTTGAAGTCAGTCATTGAGAACATTAATTGTACATAAAGATTCCAGAGGTGATACATGAGATCATCGCTCTCTAAAAATCTAGTTAAAAGCCTCATACACCAGATCAGAGCAAAAATCCTTGATAATATCAGGACAAGTAGGACAATAGTTGAATTCAGGAAAATTTACTCTTCATGGGAAAAGATGAGAATTGACTTTTCCTGGGAATCTTAAAGAATTTATAAAGATCACCTTGGAGCTACAAGACCACAGATACGGCATATAAAAATATGAAAAATAAACACCAAAAAATTAGGAATGTTCCAAATCAAACCTTCCAAAGGAACAAAAAGGGCAAATAAGCTTCAACCTCTTAAGAAAATAAGGATGTCTTTATTGCTCACCAGAAACCAAGCACAGCGGGAGCTGGTCAATCCTCTCTAGAGAAAGAATACAAGATCTGCAGTATTGCTACATTAACTTGCCTTGATGTTACTTTGCCTTTAAAAATTTAGCTTAGTATCTGGATTAAGGTGGTTTCTGTGTGATAGTTTGAGAAGTTGGAATTATTTGTTCCATACTGATACAGACATTACAAGTGAAAAGGTTTGTACTAGCAAGGTGAACATTGACACAATGGGATAGTAAACCATGAACACAGTTGGTTTTACATGTGAGCAATAGTCTCTGCGTTACGACTAATGCATATACCACTTCTCTTCAAACTGGTGCTATTGTCGGCACTGTAGTTTTCAGATATTCCAGCAAGCATATTTTTCCAAAGTCTGGATTTCATACATGCACTGAATAAACCACAATTAGTTGGGTTGACACAACATGCTAAGCCATAAGCCTAAAAAGCATAATATCTGGTTTACTAAAGCAACTGGTAGATTGAAACGAACAACTAAGAGCGTGGAAACTAGGGCAAGCATACAGACACACCATTTAGAAAGGGATGTAATTCTTGTATGCCGCCCAGAGTCACTGTGTGAGATGGGTGGCTTTATAAATCAAACAATCCTTGATTCTTGCCTTTTTCTGTTATTCTCTGAAGCTTGAGAAGCATACAATAGGGCTAGAGGGGCCACAATCAAGTCAAGAGAATGTGGGAAGTAGTGTAGTGTGAAAGAAGAGAAATAACTATGGGTCAGGAAGGGAAGTGGGATGATCACAAGAAACGTAAGTTGCATCATACCAAAGCTCGATAAAGGCCAGTATTCTATGTTCTCACAATGCTGCTGCCTTCAGAAGTCCAGGCCCAATCCTTGCCATCTGGGAATAACCCCTGTTGAAACCCTGGACAACTGCTCTGCATGTCAACATTACTAGCCTAGGTGATGCATAGCCTGGCACCCTTCTGTATAAGCCAGCTTCCTGTCTTCCAGTAGCTCTGGGAAGTCTGCAAGAGGCAGACAGAAGGAGAAAAGATCAGCCCTTGGCAAATTGCTGCCACTCATGGCCACAAAAAAGATTTATATCCTGCTGCTGTTCAAGAAGTGTGAATCTTTAGTATCTACTGATGTAGCTGGGCCCTACTGGTAACCAACTGGATCTTATTTTGGTGGGTTTCACTATTTAACACTCCCTCCCCTCCCCCAAAACAAATGCACACAACATTTTAAAGTAAAAGAAGCACAAAATGAATCCATCCGTATGTTAAAAATTATTAGCTTTATTCTTTTGGCTTGTTAGTAATGTAGTTTATAGTTATTTATGCTAAAATATTCTTCTACATGCAATTCATCAATATATATTACTAGTCAATAGCCAAAGTAAAAGAATAGGTTTACTTCTTCCCTCTGTAAGAAACAGACAAAACAAAGGTGCCCAGATACATTGGTTTTCATTTTGCTACTTGGTTCTTACAGAAAGAGGACACACAATCAGACTCTGGGCACCAAGTTATAGTTACAGTGTATCTAATGCAGTACAGATCAAGATGAATACTGCAACAGATGTAATAGTTACTGAATGTTAAGACCCAAATGTCAGTGCAAGTAGTATGAGAACAAAGCAAACCATTCAGTAAATCATTGTCACAAAGCTCACTCCTTTCACAGCCAAATCACACACTGTCTCCATACACGTGCAATTCTTTCACATTCAGATTTGTTCACCTTTTCTAACTGAAACTCCTAGAAACAAAACATGTTTGCATAGCAACCCAATTGTCCTCTCCCTCCCGCCCCCCCCGGCTTCTGTGTTAAAATGCTGTATTATAAAATACCGGTTTAAATAAATAAATAAGTAACCCATATCAACTGAAAGCTGATAAATCAAAGTGATTTAAAAATAATATAAAATATGCTTTTATAAAAAGTTTTATAAATTTATATTTTAAACCAATTACGATGTTCATAGTACATCTTGTTAGTAATGTTTCACATCATATAATCAATTAGTAAAAATTATACAGTGGTTATAAGCAGCATCAAATATAAAAGAAGAATATCTCTACAATTAGTTTCTTTCAGCTTCAGACACGACTTCCCCGATTTGACTACAAAAACAATGAATCAGAAGAAACAAACGTATCTGAGGGTTAAATGTATTCTGCACCAACAGATCTAGCTCTTGCAAATAAAATCTATACCGCTCTAACCAGAATAAATTGTGGAACTTTACTAAATCACACACATTAACCCCATTTCCAAGCATAGCATGTTCAATTAATTTAGGATTTCCCCTATAAGCCAAGGTGACAAAAGTGGAAGGAGTATAGGAAAGACCATCATCTGATTTAGTCAACTAATGAGTATTCAACAATTGTATAATTCATCAGTTCTGCACAGAAGTAAAACAGTAGTTTCCAGTTTAAAAAGTGCTCATTTTTAGAAAGCTTCTGCATGGGTCATGGGAAGAAAGACATCTGAAAGACATCCACTTCTATGTGAGAAAGTAAGTGGAATACCTTTTCTAAGACAACACCTGATATCTGCAATTTTTCTAGACATACACATAAATACACTACTGAGTGGGCATTTTTAATCTGTAAAATATTTAAGTAGTTAACCCAAAACCTTTACAATCCTAGATGTGAACAATTCTCTTTCAAATGATGATGATGATGATTCAATAATCTTTTGAGAGCTAGGCTCTAAGTTCAACCTTTGATCATATCCAATATCTCTAGAGCTACTTTGGAAGAAGAAAGAAGTGGCATATTTAAGTAAGTCAAGCATATAATTATCTTAGTTCACTTAATTTATTAGATTTGTTATGGCTGCCCACTCCAGAAGACTCTGGGTGGCTTAAAAAATTAATTAATTAATTAATTAATTAAAAAGTAAAAACAATTAAAACCCAATTAAACAGGCAACCCTGTTTAGCAAATGAATTGTGAAATTCACTGGTTCAGATGTGAATGATTACAATAAAAGTACAGGAAGAAAAGCCACCATATTATTCTATTCAGTTTACCTACACGTTGTAGACTGTATAGAAACTCTTGTATTAGACAGCATGAATAGGTAAAATATGAAATTATGCAACCCTGAAACCTGGACAAGTTATGACTCTTGTTCTTTGTTACTTGCTAATTTTTCCATCATGCATGAGCTAGGAAGTAGAGCATGCCTTCGTGCAAATCCATTATCTGTACATGTGTGAAAATCAGAATAAACTAACTGGCCAAATAAATTCCAGAAGGGTACCTAGTCTGCTGGAGACTTGGGATAGCTCATAAAACTCCATTATAAGTACGTTTTTATGGTGCTGGACCCTGTTTGTCACAAAATTTTAAGAAAGAATGAATGATATAGTTATTAGAGCCGGTCTTACCATCAACTGTATTTATAGGAAGTTTCTGGGATAATACCCATGGCAGTATATACAGTGTATACTATAGCACTGAATTTTAGAATATGTACATTTTATTTTGGATTATTAAATAACATTATTTAATAATGTTATTTCTTCCACGTAGAAGTACTTACAGGAGAATACATGTGAGAATGTAAAATCCATGTGGCTTTTGCATTCTTATGTACCATATCTCACATGTATCCTTGATCCAGGATTTTTTTTTCCTAAGGAAGTATTAGCTCAGAATACATTCCTCTTCTACAATATGAATGTTTGTATGTGCATACATAAACTGAAAACTAAAAACTGTAGAATTTGAAGAGCTGGAAGAATTGCCAAAGCATGAGAAAGCAATAGTCAGAACTGCTGGAGTCCATGTAGCAACTAATTCAAATTGTTTTGAAAAGGAAAGTCCCATTTAGCACTCAAGTTATGCCAGACAGCAGCCTCGACTCTTAAAGAAGCGTCCCAGCTCACCTCTTCAAGCAGGCTGAGCAGATTTCAGCTAATTTACAATAGCCAATGGCCTGAACAGTGACAAACTGCCAACAAAGCCTGAAGTCAGAAGCAGCCAATGAAGCAGATTGGTAGGTTAAGCTGCTGGCTGACCTTGCACAGTGATGGGGCTGGAACTCCTGCCCCTGCCTATGGCAGGAAGCCACATACCTGTACTACCTCTGCCTAACAGACCCTCCCAACCTGCACAAAAGAATGCTCAACAGCCAAAGAAAGCCCGCCCAGCTTCATGGATAATGCTGAAAATGTTCTCCCCCAGAGTCCTGAAATTCCCACTACCTATATGAATCACGTGGGGATACCCTTTTCTTTTCAAGGGAGGTATGTGCCTTCTCTCCAGCTGGCCACCCATTCACTGTCCTCACTCTTAGCTTAGCAGCTGGGCTTCTATCTTGCCTTCAATCTACTCCTGGCTCCTTCCAATCATATGAGTTAAAGGTCTGAACATCTGTCAGTTGCTTACAATTCTCTTAAGCTTTTCTTTTCACTGAATTTTGACTGGAAGCCAAATCTCTTATTTTGATTCCCCTCATTTATTTTCTGGCAGGCTGAGTGCACAGTTTTTAGTAAATTTAGCTGAACAATAATTTTTTTTCAGGGTGAAATTTGCAGATCTGAAGGACCTTATGGATAACTTTGGATAAGCCTATAAACTCTGACATGAGTTTTAAGCCTTGTGCAATTTGAGTAAACAGTTCCATGTTGCATTTAAGGAGAAACCACATTACTATGTTATTGAACCACTTTTTACTTGTCTGCTCAACATACTTGATCTCATCATCTTTGGAATTCACTGTCTGCTAAATGTCTAAACAGTGCCATGTCTACAATGGTTAAGGTCCCCAACTATCATATCATTATTATAAGTAATAAAGTTAAATATATATGTGTGTATATAAACATATCTGTGAAAGAGCAGTTAATTCCATTGCTGGACATAATCACAAACAATGATCTGTGAACAGAAATACAACTGCACTAACAAATTTGTCAAACATGATGGAAATGGCAATTGAGATGTACACATTGGATACAATTAGTGCAGCAAGGGAATATTTTTTGGTCATTGTTAACACACACACATACACACACACACACAAGTACTAATGCATTCTGACAGCCTATGGTAATTTTGTGAATCCTCTTCATCTGTGCAAGCTGGTAAGAAGAATTGTCCTTGTCCTCATAAGTCTGTACCATACTACCCAGTCAACAATAAAATTGCAAGTACCTTGAATGCATGAATATATTATGTTGATATAGTAGAAATGGTCAGTTTGGCATAAACGTTCAGCATGATTCCTGTTAGTATCAGTATTACTTTTCTGATGATGTAAACAATTTGGTGTAGATAGAATTACAAGTCTGTTTCAGATTTTCTTTTTATGATCCTTGTCATCTTTCCCTTTTTCTTCTTTTTCTGACTTTTCTTGTTCATATTTGTCTGGTTTTGTTACACTATCATAGGAAGGCGGTGATGTTGTGGAGGAGCTTCTTTCTGTCTTTTCCAGAGCCAAGCTCAAACTTAATTTATCTAGAGTCATTTCAGTTTTGGAAGAAAAAACATCACCATCCACATATAAGTATGATGGATTGCACACTGGTTTCCTCAGCCGATAATGCCTAAAAGCTCTCTGAATTACCTTAGCTGATTGCTCCTGCAGTTTCCGCTTCAGGGTAGTTGTAATTGGTTCATAGGAGACTTTTGAGGGGTTGGCAGCCATAAACCGATCTTCCATTTGCACACGGAGGGCGTCCATTTCATCACTCTCACCCAAAACACGCTTTGTAAAGGCAAATAAGATATCAAGACAGTGAATTCTGTCACCACTCACCATGGGCAGATCCATTGCGATAAGCTGAAAATGGTTTGGTTTGGGTATTAGCAGAGGAGGATCCAGCGAGGCTGCAAAATCAAAGAGTTTGATGTATTCTATAAACTGTGTTGCATCTGGATCAAATTTTTCCCAGACCTCATAGAACATCTCAAAGTCATCTTCACCTAATGGTTCAGCACTTTCTTCTGTAGCAACGCTGAAGTTCTCCAGAATGACAGCAATGTACATATTTACTACAACTAAAAATGAGATGATAATGTAGCTGACAAAGAAGAAGATCCCAACAGAAGGATTGCCACAGTCTCCTTCAACTGAACTTCCTGGGTGAACTTTTTTAGGGTCACAGTCTGGCTCCTTGTTGAGAATGGGTAACAGCAGACTATTCCAGCCAGCAGAGGTGGTAATTTGAAAGAGGCAGATCATGCTGTTAGCGAAAGTTTCAAAGTTGAACATGTCGTCAATCCCACCTTCCTTTTTAACATAGGCAAACTGGGACATTCCAAAGATAGCGTAGATGAACATGACCAGGAAAAGGAGGAGACCAATGTTAAACAAGGCCGGAAGAGACATCATCAAGGCAAAAAGTAGGGTGCGGATCCCTTTTGCCCCCTTGATTAGACGCAGGACTCGACCTATCCTGGCAAGTCGGACCACTCGAAACAAGGTGGGGGATACAAAGAATTTCTCAATGATCTGTGACAGGCACATACCTATAAAAGATTTGCAAGTTAAAATTATATTTTCATACATTTATTATATATTATTGTAACTTTAAATCAGGAGTGACAGTGGAAGGAGAGGGTGAAACGACAGCCTTGTGACTGCTTTTAATGGGAATTGGGTCTATCCCCCTTTTCTAAATCATATGAGTCTGAGAGAGCAAGAATAAGATGCCAAGTCAATGTATCCTGTGCACAGAAAATAAAACTTTTTTAGTAATAGGAGAGCTATCAAAAAGTAAAAAAAAAAAATTCTAAGCATAGCATACAATGTATGCAACTGGTTTTTATTCAGAGTTTTGCACAGAGGTTCATGAATTCTGGGGACTGAGAGTTGCATTTGGTCTTTAAGAAGCATCTTGGGGTAAAGGGTTACATGTTTAAAACTGGAAGGTTCTAATTATAATTTTAAGATTATAATTATATTAAATTATAGTTATTATCCACTGGTTTATAGAGTCATTTCACAAGATGGACGGTGACAAATTTGATAAAAAAATAAAAATAAATTATCCACTGGTTTTGTTGAAGGCTTTCACAGCCGGAATACGATGGCTGATGTGGGTCTTCCGT